CGTGAATCACCTCGACTGCTTTAAGCGTAGTTCACTTTTAGACGTACCAGTGACTCATCGAGACTTCGTGTCAGTTTATGATAATTTCTCAACACTACATGTCATCCTTTCGACCTAACAATCAAGGGGTATTATTGGTGGAATTGTTGAAGCTACTAAAAGTACTCCTTCGAAAAAGTGACCAACAAATATTCAACAACTAAAGTGCTGCTTTCTCATGGCTCTCGTTGTCTGACACATTTGATTTTGATATATGTACATATTGCTTGTTTGCTAAACAACTTGATCACCATCAACTCTTGCCTTTGAATTTCAATGGTGATTGACTCAGAAGCACTTTAGAAGAGAGATAAGAGCGACCAAATATAGACGTGCTATCAGTTTGAATAGATTTCAACCATTGGTATACTTTTAGTAATAAAGATTTCCAGGTTCGGAACTGGAAGGTAACTGAAGGAAACAAGTGAGATGGCTCAGAGTTGGGGGTAATGGTCCATCCACACTCACCCCTTATGCCCACCCAGATCATGTGCTTCAATATCATTTGATAATCTTTCTCCTAATCCGCATATTCCCCTCAGAATATATTCTACATTTTTGGTCCCTTAATATAACCAGTGCTAGCATCGCTTCAGTTCACTTGCTACTCATCTTGCCGAAATTTTTTCATAGTTCTGTCGCAGTATGGCAGTGAAGATGGCACAGGTATTCAGTGTTTGACAACGCTTTTATCAGTAACACCTAATATAATTCGTACCCACCAAGAGAAACCAAAAGACAGAGTCGAGGAGATCGGAAGAGTGTATTTGGCAATAACCAATATATCGGAATTCTCTGATCTAATCTGGCTAGTGATTGTGGTTGACGTTGAGCACAGCGTTACCACACGTGATCTGGTGCGGATGCATGACCGAGCGCCTTCAGCTAGATGAGTCCACTAAAACTAATCTGGTCAGCGTCCAGTGTCGAAAACTTACAGGGCTATTTATTTTGGGGATTTATTTACCGCTACAGCAGCTCGGACCAGTTAACATTTATTTCAGATCCCATGCCAATTGTGTCTGACTGGTTATCAGTTTATTAGGGCATTAGGAATCAAATATTTTCACGGTGCTACACCGACTCACAACAAGCTGGAAATATCTACTCAAAAGGTCGGACCATTACCGACAATTATCTTGACTACTTTCGGCGTGGTCATGTAAACTTGCTCAGTTCTCAATTTCTTGCATATAGCTCCACAACGAAAGATGAGCCATCTCTATATACGATACTCACCAACAAACATCTACAGGGTTTTTTGAAGTTTCTAGAAACCTTTGTCCAAGATGTTTCAGCCCCGAAGCAATGCAGTAGTTCGAGGCCCTTGTTGTTCATATGTGACTTGTAAAGGGTTCACTGCTTACTATTAATCCTTTGAATCATTTACATTGGTGAAACCACTCTATTTAGTTACCTCAGTACTCAAAAACCGCCTGCTCTTTATCAAAACGACTAACAAAAACCACAGAAATTGAATATTACATATCAGAAAATATTCGGGCACACAGATAACAGTGGAAAGCAGATAAATTTTCCATAGACGAAGTCTGGTTTTAGAAAAGAAACTGCTATAGTTTTATACAAAGAGAAAACATCCGTGAATCCATCGATGCGATAGGACACATTCAGAAAAGATGAAACGTAAATTTCCAATTGTTTCCATGAGTTTTGTTTTAAACTGTTGTCAACCAAGATTGTGTTTATGTTCATTAAAACAAAAAATAATTTTTCCTTATTTCTAAATGTACGAAGCGCCTAATTATTTTGTAAATGAACAATATCATGATTTTGAACGCTAAAAGTTTATTTCATTTAGTATTTGAGGCAGGTATCTCATATATTTCTTCGACCAATTGGCGTTCGTTAAAGTTGTTTCATGGCCTTATAAAAAAAAGAGGTCGTCCAATCAGAATTTCGACCATGCTGGTATATAAGGCCTGCGGTCATCCCCTCTACTGTTGTTCACAGTTATGGCACGAACGAAGCAGACAGCTCGCAAGAGTACGGGTGGGAAGGCTCCACGAAAGCAGTTAGCTACTAAAGCGGCACGTAAAAGTGCACCAGCAACTGGTGGTGTTAAGAAACCTCATCGTTATCGGCCTGGAACAGTTGCCCTGCGTGAGATTCGTCGTTATCAAAAATCAACCGAGCTATTGATACGCAAACTGCCCTTCCAGCGATTGGTGCGAGAGATTGCCCAAGACTTCAAGACCGACCTTCGTTTCCAAAGCTCTGCAGTTTCTGCCCTTCAAGAAGCAAGCGAAGCCTACCTTGTTGGACTTTTCGAAGACACTAACTTGTGCGCCATCCATGCCAAACGTGTAACTATTATGCCAAAGGACATCCAGTTGGCTCGCCGAATTCGAGGTGAACGCGCATAAGTCGACCTTTGATATGACTGCTCTGTGAACGCCAAACGGCCCTTTTTAGGGCCACACAACATGATTTTGAGTTCTGTTTACCGGTATTAAATAAGTTAAGAAAAAAAGAGGGGTTATTCATTGGGTTTGTCGCTATGTACGAAATGGTCTAGCTGTGTCGCGAACTTGTAGCAGAATGTACGGCAAATTCACAGGCACGGTGTAAGTCGCTTTGTATGGGTCAGCCTTGCATTCCCTTATGTCGGTAATTGGTGTTGAGTAGTTAGGCTAGTTTGCGTAGACGTGTCTATGACAAAAGGTATTCTCGGTTCGTGTCCCGGCGGGTTTCTATGGTAAATGTGTTCGTGCTAGCACTAAGCAACATTGGCCCTCCGAATGCAAGTTGTTTTAGGACACACCTGAACTAAGTAAGAGAGGTAGTCACCACCTGTGGCAAAGGCAAGGTATCTGCTCATGAGAGGGACTAATACACTGCGCCACTATCGTAACCAGTGATTGGAGACTGGATGACATGGCTGAGAATCGATCACAATGGTGTAGGTGTTTACACTTTGTCTTCCCTTAGACTATGAGATTGAAATTGCTTTATACCTCTATTTCTACGAACTAATTCTTTCTTTCTGTATTATATCGTCATATGAAATCTTTTGTTACTACCATAGAAGTAACTGCTTCATAAATCAACTTGACCTATTCTTAAGGACCAAGAACAGCATCACACTATGTTTTACCAGTTTATTCCTCTTTTATTGTTAACACACCTAGGTTCCTGCCTGGAGGATTTGGTGATCCCCTGCTACTAGACACGGAAGCCTGTTAAGCGAAAGCTTCTTATATTCCGTCAACAACCATTTGAATAAATCAACATTCAAGGATAACAAGGAATATCAAGGCAAATTATTTGGGTGAGGGTGCTGCGCGTCCCAAGCATATTGATTGCCATGGATGACAGGTGTTTACTTATAAAACGTCAAGTTCCCCAATTTACACGATTTACCACATTGGATAAATATTTCAATCATCTTAGGTTTGCAAGCAGCGGTTGTTCATCTGATTGTCAACAATTATATGGAGTGAAGCTTCACTTTAAGCGATTTTCACAGCACTCCGTCATAATGATCAACGCTGTATGTAGTCTACTACTCGCACATTCGATTTTTAACAGGCATTTGTGACCAGAACTTGTGAGGTTTGACGTTATTTGTTGCTACCAGGGATCGAAAATCTCTAGTCCTATTTAAATTATCCAGAATTTGTCTGATATTCCAACACTAGGTAAGCCCAATCAATCAACAAAGGGAAAAATGCGTTGGAAAATAAAGGGGAAATGCGTCAAAATAACTGCTTTTCCGCCTGTCCAAGGGAGTTTTTCCCTTTTTGTCGCCGAACTGTATTTTTCGCCTAAATATAAGCCGAATAGTCATCTGTTGAATTGTGTATTTTTCGCACATCACAAATAATACCGCCACAGTGAATTATGGAAACTAAGCACGTACCTGATCATAAAAATAAGGAATTAGCAAGAATTATGCCGCAAATAAACCCTACTGTATTACTCCGTGTTGACATCGTTGTTGTAGAAGTAATAATGAGCTTAATGAAGTTAGAGCTCCATCCGTCGTCAGCCATATCCTAGGGTCTCTCGCAGGATGGATGTACACAATTTCCAGGCAACACCGTCAACCTGCGGGGATGATCACTAATAGGGTTTCTAGCAAGCATCGTAAGGATCGAAGACCAAATGTAAATAGCGTGGATTGAATTGAGGCTCTTTTTTTCCGCAACCATAAAAACGAAAGCGAAGCTGCACTAGATGGTGTGACTGAAAATAAAACTTCCCTATGAGGCTTTACTTATCGACATGCTTCAAGTGGGACATACGTCCTACCCACCGGGGGCCGTTTGTAGGCTGCCTACAGTTCCCTACCAAGTATCGAAGTCAAGAGCGTACCGACTGAGCTTTGACCAAATGTATTTAGTACGTCCATCTCGAGTGTTATACTTTCAAGGAGACCAATTACGCTCCAATACAAATAGAACCAAACTAATGCCTAAGCATTTCATGATCGCAAGGTAACTGAATTCAAAATAACAAGACCACTCTTTAAATATCACTTTGACCTAGTATTACAGCACATTAGGGATCCCACCATAAATGACTCATGAAGCTCCTCGTCCCTCTTGCACTTAATCTTCACGCGCGGTGATGGCGCCGGTCAAATGACCTCATAGAGTACTAAGAAATTATTTTTGATCTAATTTATCCTCTTTTTCTAACCACTAGATCGGGACATCCCAGATTACATAGCAGGCGCATATAAAGACCAAGAACGAACAAAATGCCCATGGCATACGTCTTCACACTGAGTCATCAATTCGTGGAACCTGTTGCCCGAAGCAGCGGTGTCTGCGCTTTCAACTGACTCATTCAAGAGAAGACTAGACACTCACAGAAGCATACTAGGAAAGGAATAACATAGGCCGTAGGCCTTTTGTTCTTACTAAACAAATCTGAATCTGTCTTAACCCCCACATCTCACATTACCGTATTATGACGAAAACAAACACTCAAAAGAGTCAATGTCTTTACTCTTTATTACGGTTAAAACATAATGAAAGACTTTCGTGAAACAAGATTCATACAACACCATCTCGGGTGGTTTTTGCAGCATCGTCAATCATTCATCATACTATTGCATGTTGTAACATATTTCCAAGATGGGATCTTGTCTCTACTGAACTTGTAGCCATTCATTGTGTGAAAGTTCCCCGCCAATCACGACTGTCGAAAGTGTCCACCTAAATTTAATATTGATTAGAAATTACATATTTGCGGATAACATTTGTGCAACGAAATTAACCATTTAAAACTAATTTGGATAATACCAAAATATTCTGGTGAATGCATGCATTTCGGGGCACAGTAGGTTTTTAATATTATAAGTACAATCATTGAAATTCATAATACATAAAAGCAGGCTTTTTGATCCCACCAAATGGCAACACCTTTAAGTTTTGTGTTAGGACTAAGTAGGTGTTTAAGAGATGCCCAGAAGTGTTTAGGATGCTATAGGTCATTAGAAGATCACCTCTAAGACGTCCGTACTCTAATGAGTAAAAGTTTATTGACTGGAGGTTGTGAATCTTCATCGACTGAGATGGTTGGGATAGGTGTTACGTATGCCTGAACACCGATTACCACGCCGTGCAATGCTAACCGGTGTTCGGGATGGTTGGAAGAAAGTAAGCGGCGGCCAAACCAAAACGTAGCATCAGTGCTTGAAGTCACTAACCTCTAGTCTGAGCCATGTTGGTAGATGCAGACTACTTGGTTGGGGCCGCGTGACTACCGTAACCAATGGTTAGACTCTTGGTGACATGGCTCAGAATTGATCACAATGGCGTCGGTGTATACACTCTGTCTTCCCTTAAACTAAGTGATTAAAATCGCTTCATATCTTTCTTTCTACGAACTAATGCTTTCTTGCTGTACTATATCCTTATTGCAATCTTTCCTTTATATATTACCACCTCTGAATTAACTACTTTTATGAATCCGGTGTCCATCTTGTGTTATTGAGGTATGGCAACTTGGACCGATGCATATATGTGCCTGGTCCTACGTTGTAGCTGACTGATTGACTGAGATCACCTCTAAGACGTCCGTACTCTAATGAGTAAAAGTTTATTGACTGGAGTTCTTCATGAAACTTGAATAATGTTAGTAAACACGAGAAAACATAAACAACGTCAGTGATTGAAATTTTATAATCTCAAGGTTTTGTTCAGAAGCCTGGTCTTTGAAACTTTTCTTTCGAAAAGCCAGGTCCACACTACTGAGGAAGACGTAGATGTTAGTCACCATTAACTGCTGGAATATTTAAAAATATAATCCCCTATTTAAGGTTTCCTATATAATCGGAGCTCAAATATTCTGACTACTAGTTCTTACAATAAAAATGGCCACCAAATGCCCTGGTATGGCCGAGAGTGGGATGGGCCCTCCCTCCCTCTCACACGGCCACACGTATACAGCCACTGCCAAGGAAGTCCTACTCACTGCCTTCTCGTTGCGGGGATGTTGTTTACGAAAATGTGAGGACGAAAAGCGAATGTCCAGAGCTTTACCCGGATCCCAAACCAATGGTGCACATGGGCTCCAGTATCCTGAGGGAACAAATGGCGTATGAACCAATCGTTGATCACCGGCTACCATGGGACTGCATCTCCTCATGATGCTCCACTGCTTTGTGGATCAGACCTTTAGGTTGAAGGCTCGGGGTGTGGCCACCTAAGAAAACTACCTGCTTCGGTCAGGGCACCTGGGCAGTATCACAGCCGACACACACAACTATGGTGTGCGCATATATATACTTGGCGCCCTCTTGCACCAATATTTATGTGTTCAAATAAATAAATACAATAAAAATGACTCGGAAAAGATGAATTCCCGAAATAAACGTCATGAAACTTAAAAATCGATTGGAGGCATACGAGAAATAGTTCCGGTGTTAAAATTTAAGACGGTTATCTGTAAGACAAATAAAAGCATACCATCGTTTCTGTAACTGATAAGAACTCATTCATATCAAAAAAATTTGAAAAATACTTTCGCGTACGTAGTAACACCATCCATATACTCAGTAAAATCGTTTCTTGTAGGATGTCTTATTTAAGTAAAAACCAACGTTTCAGATTCGAATATTTAATATATGGCGCAACTGTTCCATTTATTTTACTGCGTATCGTTTTGTGTTCAAAGCCAAAAAAGTTTGACACAATTCTAGATCGGAGTATCCCAATTATTAATTAACCTTCACGGTTGACTAGCGACTGTCACTCAAATGAAACATTAAATATAATTCTTATGAATCGACTTTGTAGATCGACAAAGCATTATCTTAATTTTGACAATGTTTTGCTAGAACTGCTATTATGAAATCTCTTCAATACAACACTCACAATTATCATCACAAGAGAACACTGGTTCATTCCAAAAACGAGGTTGGCAAGAGAGGATACTTGTCGAACACATTGGAAAAAAATACTATCTGACGAAGCCCTAACATAAACCGAGTTTGTAAGCTACAATCTTCCCTTCCGTAGACTAAGAATCTCGTCACATTCAACAACTATACTTGAAAAATATCTAAAAGCATAGACTGTCAGGTCCCTTCGATTCACAGGGACCAACGCTACAGTTTCGCCCTACATAAAACGTCACCACCAGAGCTTGTAACCCAGCTAAAGCATACTATAACGACCAAAACCAGGCAAAAAAGTTTGGGAATTAATAGGTCAGTGGATGCTGATGGGCCCAGAGAGCTTGAAGCTCGTTACCAAAGTACATGACAAGAAAAATTTGATGCTTTACCCTTAGCCACCAACATATAAGCACGACACTTCAAGTTGAAAATGATAAAACAAACGCGAGAATGGAAAATACAGAAGTCCCTCGAAGTCAAAGTGTCCTGAGAATAAACCCTAAATAACAGTACTCCTGTTTTCATGAAGAATACCTTATCTGAGGCGAAAATGACAATAGTTTAAGCAACCACAATCTCGGCACAACGACCTTGTACCAACGACCAACAAAACGATAATCACATGTGCTACTTTGTGATTGGAGAATGTTCACACTGGCTTCTAATTGGATAATATGAAAATCATGTTACGTCGTGGTCGAGAAATTATTATAGTGCTCAACTGAGAAGATGGTACGTCCGTTCTCGTCTCCGTGTGGCAATTCTTTGAAGTAGGTGTAGTCATGAGTGCCTCAGTGACCGTCCCAGTGAAGAAGGCGAAGTCGTCGAAGCCTAAAGTGCCAGCCAGCCACCCGCCAGTAACCAACATGATCACGGCAGCAATTTTGGCGGTTAAGGATCGTAAGGGCAGCTCACTCGCTACCATTAAAAAATACATAGCCGCGAATTACAAGTTCGATGTTGAAAAGCAGGCAGCCCATATTCGCCGTGCTATAGTACATGGTGTTGAGAAAGGTGCTTTTATACGAGTTGGGAATAAGGGCAAGGGCGCGTCTGGCAGTTTCAAAGTAGCTGAAAAGAAAATTGTTGATGCCAAACCCAAAGTCCCTAAACCGAAAACCAAAGTTCCTTCCGCTGTTAAACCAAAATCAACTCCAAAGAAGCCTAAAGAAAAGAAAGTCACTAAACCGAAAGTCAAGACACCAAAGAAGCCAAAAGCTGCTGTAACAAAGAAGCCAGCAGTTAAAAAGCCGAAGACTCCTAAGAAGACTGTGGCTAAGAAGGTTGCTCCAAAAAAGAAGTAAAGTGGTTTGATGGTGCCTATATAGGTGCTGCTACTACGGAGAACGTGACAACGGCCCTTTTCAGGGCCAATCACCAATTGGTTTGCAACTTCCTTAGTTTGTTTATCAGTACCGTATGTGTGACGTGGTATGTAATTGTCAGATGTACGGGCAATATATGTATTGCTTGTGACAATGGTGTTAGTGCGTAGTTACTGTGACCTAAGTCTTTATTCAACGGCTATACGTAAGCAAGGATTTATCCGTGTGGAAAGAGACTTCCTAACATTTACCTGAGTGCGATAAGTCCGCTCCTCCTGGATATACAGGTGTAGGCACGGCGCTAAGGACGGGGGTAGGATGAGCGCTATTACAATGTGTTGCCGTTAGCAGTCGTCCATGAACTGTTTGGCTAAGCGGGTCCGTAAGAACTCGGGGGAGTGGGAACAGGTAATGATGGTCGTCGGCCAAAATACTCCGTAAGGACACACCTTTCCATCCTTTCTGTCTACGCTCCCACTGACTGCATCCCGGATGAGGTGAAAGATGACTTTTATAAAAGGCTTTCTGAACTTCAGAAAGCTGAACGTTCAGATATAGTCTTCGTAGAAGGTGACTTTTATGACCAGGTAGGTCGCTTAAACCAAACAGAAAGACATTTTGGGTATTTTGATATTGATGATCTTCTACTGCGACTATGTTCAGGCACTTGTTTAGTTTTAGCAAACACTGATTTTAAGCATTAGGAGACATCGCCAAAAGTAGATACCAGAAACAAATGAGGTCGCACATAGGCATTACCGCACACGGTGCTGACACATGTTTGGAAACGGCAGTGTGGAAAGCAATGACATCTATTAGTGCTTTGAACCAGATGGTCACCAAGAACCAGTGGCTTCCTTTGTTGATATTGCTTTTTGACAAAGTTCTGCACAACAGGCTTTTTAATGAGCTAAGAAATGTCGGAATAGGAGGCGATCTAATGATGCAGATAAAAGACTAGTTGGGCGCCAACAAAGTGTACGGATGAAGTTATCTAGCTGGGAATCTGTGCTTAGTTAAGTGCCCCAGGGTACAATTTTGTAAGTGACCCTCCTCGTCTCCTATCATAATCGGTCTTGCTATATGCTGACGATATCAAGATATGGAGAACGATGTGATGTAAAGGTGATAGCTCAGAACTCCAAAATGACCTGAAGAAATTAACTGGTTAGTCTCAGTTGGCAGTTGCCGATAAATACTTCAAAGTCTGTCGTGACGCATATCGGTCATCAAGGTACAGATATATATACAATGAATAACACTGGGCTACCTGTTGCCCAGAGACAATGACTTAGGAGTCATCATTAGCCAAGACTTGAAGACTACTGCACACTGCCGTGCTATAGCCGCCAAAGGTTTTAGAGCGTTACGGTCAATACGTAAGGCTTTTAGTCGTGTCGACGCTAAAACGTTTTTGACTTTGTGTGCAGTGTTCGTACGTCATAAACAGCGGCTAGCCAGCTTAAAAAGACTGAGCTTTTGACAAAGGTTCAGAGAACCGCAACTAAGCTGGTCCCCGGAATAGCGAAGCTTCCGTATGATGCTCAGTAGGCCAAGCTAAACATATTCCAGTTGACGTATCGTAGAACTAGAGGCGACTTGATTGCAGTTTTCAGGTTGCCCTCATTTTTCTTGTCTTCTAAAACAGAGAACTTACGAGGACACTCCTTAAAAGTTCACAAGCGCAAGACAGATTACTTGTCCGCTGACTATCGATTTTACCATCGAACCAGCAACGAGTGAAATTCACTACCTCAGCACGTGGTTTAGGCATCCTCCGTCGACTCAAAAGAAAGCTGGATCAACTGAAAGACCACCATTGCCAGGACTAACACTGGCCATCAAGCCTCCTGCCTTTCCCAAATGGTCACTAAAAACCAGTGGCTTCTTCTATATCTGTTGATAATATCAAGAGATTTCTGAGGTTGGTGTTTCGGTTTGAACGGTTAGGTTGACTAATATTTTAGCCAATATCTGGGAAGTGGACGTAATCTCATCTGGCTGGTCTCAATCACTGACCGTCCCAATATATATATGAAGGGGTCAAAATCGTCCTGTGACAAATATAAAGGAATTAGTTTAACCAATATAATATCTAAAACACTAGCCTCAATTATTATCGGACGCCTAGCAAATATCCGTGAGCTGTAAACAAGAGAAAATCAGGCTGGCTTCAGACCTGATCGCCCCTGCATCGACCATATATTTACCGTTCGTCAGATAGGCAGGCTTATTGGCGTCCAAAAATGATAGTTTTTTTTTTAACTTAGAAGCCTCATTTGACTCTGTAGACCGAGAGGTTATGTGACAGTGTCTATCATTGAAAGGTGTAACTCGGAAGTACCTAGATCTTGTAAATGCTCTTTACTCGAACACTAGCAGTCGAGTCAGAACATATAGTGAACTGTCATCTGATTTCGCAACCTCAAGTTGTGTCCGACAAGACTGCCCACTTTCTCCATTGTTGTTCAACTTCATCATAGACATACTGATGGAAACAACGAACGCGTCGACTGAGTTTTCGGGTATCGATTTCTTACCAGGAGGTCAACTTATCGAATTAGAATTCGCAGATGATCTAGTCTTGTTTGGTAAAGATGCTAATAAAGTGTACTGCGCAACAATGCCAGAATGTTTGGGATGCGCTTCTACCCCTCTAAATGCAAATTGTTGCTTTAGGACTGGCCTGCGTCAACACTTGAACTAAGGATAGGAAGTGAACTAGTCGACATCACTTATTTTGGGAGTTTCATCAGCCCTAATGAGTCGGTGTCTGACGAAATCTCAGCACGGATTCCGAAAGCTCGTCTGGATTTTGCCAACTTACTCCACCTGTGGCGAAGGCAAGAAATTCACCTATCAATTAAGGCAAGAGTATACTGCGCAGCATTTCTTTCTGTTTTACTTTGCGGTCGCGAAACACGACTACTAAGGGTAGAAGACACTCGTAAGTTGCTGGTATCTGGTCACAGATGTTGCTCGCATCTGCTGAGATCACCGGGTAAGTAATAGTGAGTTTAGACGAAGGGTACTTTAGAATGCTGCTATATCAGTTGATGAGGTTGTGAATCTGCATAGACTGAAGTAGTTGGGCCACGTGTCACGTATGCCTGAACACCGATTACCACGACGTGTAATGCTGACTAGTGTTGTGGATGGTTGGAAGAAAGATAGGGGTGGCCGAATCAAAACGTGGCATCAGTCTGCAAAGTCACTAACTCCTAGTCTGAGGCATGTTGGTAGATGCAGACTACTTGGTTGGGTTCTGCGCCACTATCGTAACCAGTGGTTGGAGACTCTGGATGACATGGCTGAGAATCGATCGCCATGGCGTCGGTGTATACACTCTTTGTCTTCCCTTAGACTGTGAGATTGAAATTGCTTTATACCTCTATTTCTACGAACTAATTCTTTCTTTCTGTATTATACCGTCATATGAAATCTTTTGTTACTACCATTGAAGTAACTGCTTTCATGACTTTCTTGTTCATCTTGTTGTGCTAATGCTGTATGGCAACTTGGACAGATGCATGTATGTGCCTGATCCTACGTTGTAGCTGACTAAACGACTACGTTGAATGTGACTGAGGGTCGAAGTATTATTCCTTCTCTTTATACTGCGGGTTGTTTGGAAAATCATGAATATTCTATCTAGCTGCCTAAAATGAGTCGTTACCCTCTGAATTCATAATCGAACCAGGCATCCCAATATGGGGGGAAGTTTTATCCGTTTTTCGAGAAGCCGCTATGGAAATTTTCGAGGAAATGGCACAAGATGCCCAAAATTTTGGGAAGAACCCCAAAATAGGGAGATTGGGTTTAATTTGAGAAAAAAATCCATTTATTGCTTTTCATTAAGGTCTGCTCGATTAATCTTCTGAACTTAATTTATTGGTAGGCAAAGGTACTCAACTGTGTCAGCTCTTCTTAGTAGCACCATCTACTGTACCACATATCAACATGACTTCTTTACTGTCAGTCAGTACTTCGCATTTTTATCAATGATGGCCTGAATCAGTGTCTTTGTTACGTCTTTATTGGCTATGAACTATCAAAAAATGTTGCTTCGAAATGTGCCACATCCTCGGGGTCCATCAAACCGGTTAAAGCGCCGGACATTCGCTTTTAGTCCTTTCAATTTCGTGAACAACGCCCCCGCCGCGAGAATTCACTGATTAGGACTTCCTTGGCAGTGGTTGTATGCACGTAGCCATGTAAGAGCATTTCGAGAGGGAGTGTTGACTCTTCCTATCAGTAGAGGACTTGAATGTAAGTCTGAGGTATGTGTATCCAATTTTTTCTCTCAAAAATGGTACGTGACAGTTTCATGAAAATTTATTTCAAGTTTATGATTGCGGGTCATGGACTTCATATGAATATTCAAACATAACTTGAGATTTAGATACCATATTTAAATTAACGGTATAAGCTTTCTCAATACCGATGGAAAAGAATTTATTGATGTAAGATGTATGTGGAATTAAGTGTATGGTAAGTTGTTTTAAAGAAAACTAAGCAAATATATTGTTAATTCCTGACTAGTTTGTCAACAAGTGACATGAATATGTTAATTAAAATTATTTTGCACTGATAATCTTTC